GCGCTGATCAGACACTACACATTTTAATGTCTTAGGTTGGCCTTAGTTTAAACATTTCAATTGTATTTAATATGAAGCTTTATGAAATCCAAAATACTGAGCCATCTCTTACCTTTTTCAATAAAAATTAGGAACAGATTAGAGAACATTTATGCTGATGTCCAAAAAAACAAGACAGGGAGATTAAAAGATATTTTAAGAAAAAAACTCTATGCATATTTTGAAGTTTAGAAGAATATTTTAACAGCAGTGGATAAGAACATATCCAGGCTTTGTCACTTACTAACTGCTCGACCTTGGCAGGCCTCCATTTTCCCATCATTAAAATAAACATGATAGTGGCTACCCCAGAGAAGTATCAGAGTATTAAATAAGATGATGTTGACAAAGCACAGAGCCTGACAGAAAATAAATTCTCAAAACTGGTAGCTACTATTATCTGGCCCCGAGTAACTCTTATTAGTGCGTGGGGCAGTTAAGATTTGAACCCAGGTTTGCCTGAATCCAAAACCCATGAGAAACCCTTCCAATTTGCTTGTTGTTACAGAACTTAGAGGTTCCCAAAGATCTCCTACTCAGGAGGGCAGATTTTCTTGCCTATTCCTTGCCACAAGCCCTATAAGGACAAAGGAATGGGGTCCCTTCCTGATGTGCATTAAAACTGATAAACATTCTTGAGCTTACTTAGCTACGTACTTACAGAAGATAGATGACATTAAGCCTTCCAAACAGCTTCCGGGTAAATTTTCTAATGAGGTTTTTGATACAATAAATATCCTGCGATTCTGTTCTTCGGCAATGAACCACTTCTACCTTTCCTCTTGGAGAAGTGAGTATTGACATTTTTTTATCCTGTCCCCCAAAAAGAGAAAAAAGCCCCACAGTTAATCTGCGATGACAAGCCAGTCTGGTTACAGTGCTTACAAAACTGGATATTAATTCGATTTCCATACATCAGAGTGAACTTGGTATTAGAGTGCTGGTGGCACACATTTTCCCCTGGGGGTAGGCTGTGACAACTGTCACCACAAACCAGCTGACATGTTTCTCTCCAGGAGAAGGATGTTTCTGAGAACTGGCCTGTCTAGAAGTTTCTGCAACTGTATTCTTTGTTCCAATAAAGCTGCTTTAAAGTATTCTAACAATAGAATTAAAAAACATTGAAAGGAATTATTTACTGATTCCGGGTCCTCCTATATTTAATTGACCAGCAAGGCATGTGGTCAAGAGTTACAGGAGAGGGCTGGCTGAGTGGCGCGTTGGTTAGGAATTGGCTTGGAACACCAGCTCTGAGCAGCAGGGCCCCGGTTCGGATCCCACATGAGGGCCAGTGATGCTGCACCCTCTACAGGTAAGATAGCGAACAATAGCTTGACCAGGAGCTGGGCTGCCGTGAGTCGCCGGCGACGGTGTAGGCTGCAGTGGAGCTGCAGTGGGTTGCCATGAGCTACCATGAGTGGCTGGCAGCCACCGTGAGCTGCTAAGAGCCACCGTGAGCGGCCATCCAGTGGTTAGCGACCGATCTGCCTCACCCGGGAAGAGCACAATGATAATACCAACATGGGCCAGTGAAGTGACATCCTCCACAACTAGACTGAAGAACAAAAGAACAGCAATGTGTCTGTTCCCTTTACCCAATTCCCCCGCGCCACCCCCCCACACACACACACAAAAGAGTTACAGGGGAAATACTGACAGTTGCTGCCCATGTTCCAAACAGACTTCCCCAAACTGGAATACTAAAGGGCAGCAGTCCTAAGGGATATTTTGAGACAAAAAAATGTTCTGTGGTCAAATAAGTGCAGGAAATGCTGCTTGTGATGGTGTTTCTGAGGGGCCATAATGCCTATTAAAGTCTTTGAGAAGTTCCCTCAGAAGTGCCTGCTTTCTTTGTAAAAACCAGCCTTTCTCCCTTTCTGAGGAGAATCTCTAATGACAGCGACAGTGGAGAGACTAATGTTCCAGAAAGACACTTTAGGGAATGCTGTTGACAGGAACAGTAGGCCACAAAATGATTACACTCTCTCTCTCAACGTCTCCTCATGTGTCTCTCTCTCTTTCCTTCCTTCCTCCCTCCACACCTCCTTTCTTTCCTTCCATTTTCCCCCTTTCCCTTCTTCTAGGGAAAAACACCTTACTATGTACTCGCTAGTGAGCTCAAAAACAGGCAAATTAATTTTTCACCATGGTATTGATTCTAAGAACAATATGAAACATTTCCAGCCTCCTAGCACCATCCAGTCAATTCACCCCTGCAAAAGGTAACCATATTCTGACTTCTATCCCATAAATGATCTTTGCCAATTTTTGAACATCGTATACATGGAATTATACAGTATGCATAGTTTTATTTCAACACACAGTATATCTTTTGGCTTTTTGTTGTTGTTGTTTAGATACATCCTAGCATAATTTTCATTTTGCCAAAGTACTAAAAACCGTGAGTTCCACAGGGGCCTGATACATCACTGAACTGAGTTCCTTCTTGGTCAGATGAGAAAACTGAGGCCCACGAGGTGAAATGACTTGTCTCAGGACACATGTTCAGTTAGAAACAGAACATTGGGCTTCTCCTTCCCGCCCAGCTCCTTACCACTCCCATCTGTTTAAGTGGCCTGTAGATTGGCTCTATGAATAAGAAGTCCCCCTGCCCTCACCGTCCACTGATGTTCAGATTAATTGCAGCTTAAATGCTCTTAACCGTAACCTTCAGATGTTAAGGGTGCAAGGTGCAGGGTAATTGCAGGGGGACTCACAAAGATGGCAGATGGCAACAAGAAATTTCATCCAGTGGACTCTGTCTTGGTGAAATCACAACACCCTCAACTTTGCAGCCTTACAGATGGGTTTCATCAGCATGCTCAAAGCAAACCCAGCTCTGGGGAATGGCCCTACATTATCCAAGCTCACAGAAACTGAAAGAACAAGTACAAAATGCCAATTTATTAATTTACAAAGAGAAAGTCAACAGGGGGCAATCCAGGTGTTTCTGTAGCCCGGACAATTAACAAGTCACTTGGGTTAAGTACAAGTCTGACTTCCTCTCCTTAACAGGGTGGGAGGGAATTATTTCTCCACCTCCCATGAGTTATGTGGCCACTATCTCGCAACCTTGGTATCAAGGTGACTGCAGTGAAATGGGGAGCTCAGGCTAGTCTTGTTCCAGCCAGATGTTGCCTTGTGGAAATGTGGGCTCAGATGGCAGATCTTCACATTTTGCAAAGGAAGAAAAGCATGGTATATACATAACATCTCCAAAATTTGAAATATTGGCTCAAAATTCTTTTTCACACTTTGCAGATGTAAATAAATAAACATTTCTTTAAGCTAGTTTAGCCTCCACTCCTGCTGTGGCAAAGCCACCCATGCACTGTCTCTTTGTAGACCAGCTACACAGAAAGCCCAGCTATCAGAAGGTGGCTTATATGGGGCCATGGTTAAGAGTACAGGATGTGGAATCAGAGTACCAGGGATGACAACCAGCTCCTATCCCTTATTAGCTGTGACATTGGGCAAATTACCAAAACTCTCGGTTCCTCAGTTTCCTCATCTGTAAATTAGAGATTATATACCTCAAAGAGTTCTATAAATGAGTTATGTACAAAATGCTAAAAGCAGTGTCTGACACAGTTAAGTGCTCAGTACATATCAGCAACCATTAATATTATTGTTATTAGCATTATATTCTCAGGATTCAAAATAGTGAACCTCAAGAAGTCGCTCACCAGCCCTGAAGCCTGAGGAGCTCTCATCCACTATAGAGATGCCAGGCCACAAAAATCTATGCATGGGTGGCATCTTTGCAGATGTTTGCCTAAACATCTCTATTTTGTTGATGACCACAAGGTCAATCCATCCGCTTTGTGACAGACACTTTGTTTCCTAGATAAACGAACACACCTTTAATCAATTTGCAGTCAAGTTTCGTGAACTGCTAGCATTTCCTAAGCTGGCTTTACATAGCGCAGCTGCAATAAGTTGATTTCACATTCTAACTCTAATGTCAATCTTTCTTGACATTTAATTTTTTAAAATTGTTTTTACATAGAAATGCATTATAATGCATTGTTCATTATACCTTCTCAATGCAGAATATGTTCTCATTGCGAAAACATAAAACTTTACAAATAAGGCTGAAATCCTGTCTTTTCTATTGTGGTAACATCCTATCTTTTTTATTGTGGTAAAATATGCATAATGCAAGATATCTCTAAGAAAGTCTTTTTCTTTTGAATTCTCTTAAACATTTGCTTGCACATAATTATAATTAACTTTTCTGTTTTTGATGGCAGGTCAAGAATTACATCACCTAACATTTACTGTGCGCTTTACACAGGTTTTCTCTTTAATCCTGGTGAAATAGATATTATTATCCTCATCTTACAGTTAAAGATATTGAGGCCAAGAGAATTTATGTAATTAAGGCACACTCAGAGAATTTAAACATCTGTTTATCTGACAAGAAGGCTGGCTGGTCTGCTAGTAGTCTACTGATTTATTTTTATTTTTTTCTTATCTGACTTTAAAAGACCCTCAGTTATTTTTAATTACCAACCTTGTAGTTAATAATTTGGTCACAACTGTCCAGAAACGAAGGGCAGTGGGCCTCAGAAACTACAAAGCCTAGAATGCAACGCGGCGCCGCGCCGCTTAGGAGCTCAGCAGCTCGCCCCTTGGCATGCAGGGAATAGTAGTTTTCTGGCCTGCCTTTCTTGCCCCGCACTCGAGCGTCCAGATCACAGTGTGGTTCCTACTCCGTTTGCCGGGAGCCACGGCTAGACAGATCCACCCGACCTCGCGCGGTCACCACAGTCCCGGAGACTGACTTGGAGATGCGCCCCTAACTCCCTAGACCCAGTCCTCGCGTCCCTGCCGGGCAGGACAACTCCACCCACCTCAACCTCAGATCCCCGACGCCGCGCTCCACACCGGGCTCGAAAGAGGACGCGCAGCCAGGTTACCACAGAAACGGCGCTCCCTCGGTCACGTTGTGTGCGGGAGGTCAAAGGTCATCCAAGCCAGTTCCGCTTCCGGTTCCGGAATCCTGCTTGTTGTCAGAAAACTTTGGGGCCTCAGGAAGCCCGTGGGGCCGTTTTGAGGGGGTCGAGGTTTCGCCCGACGTCTTTTGCAGCAGCCATGGCGGCCTCCACCGCGGCCGGGAAGCAGAGAATTCCCAAAGTGGCCAAGGTAGGCGATAGAGAGTGTCCTTGGGGGAAGGGTCCTGGGAGAGGGGCTCGCGCCACCCTCCATGGTACCCGGGACGGGAGAGTTGTCTGAGGAGCAGGCCCATCCTGTGCTGGGCGGAACGGGAAAAAGAGGGAAATGGATAGCCGGTGGTGGGGTGCAGGCTCTTGTCACCCCGGAGTATTGCCCGCGTCGGCGTGGCCTTCGTTCTGGGTAGATGTTCTTGCGGGATGAGGGATGGGGGTAAGAGTGGTGTCGTTCAGCAAAGATAACAGCCAGGCTGTGCTCTAGGCGCTGCGGAATGACACACTAATGTGGGTGACGAGCTGTACACAATAAGACACAAACGTAAGATTGCAATATTGCCAAATGCTGCTAAAGCAAAGTAGGAGTTGCCACGGAATAATGGGGGTTGTGTGAGGGTGTCTCCAGAGTAAAGTTTGCTGAGGAAATGACATTTAAGCTGAGGCTGAATAGGAGGTAGCCCAGCCGAGAGTGGAAAGAAAGAGTAGATGACAAGAGTTGCATAGTGGTATAATTTAATTAATAAGTTTGATATTGTCTGATATTTCTATAGGTGGCTGATACAAGGTATTTAATATGTAACAGGCTTTACTCTAAGCCTTTAGGGATCCTCTCCTTTCAGCCTGTTTTTCCAGCCCAGTCCATTTAGATGACTCCTACAGATAATACATATAAAGCATATAGCCCAGTGCCTGGTACTTAAAGCTCATTAGATATGAGCTGTCATCATTATTATCATCATTCCACATGTAGCACTAAATAATTAATATTTCTTATAATTCCATTCCATAAAATTTTATTGGGCAGCGCTGGTCCAGTAGAAATACTGGGCTGTCAAAAAAGTCAAGAAGTGTTTTTTCTGTGTTTTGTTACAAAAATGCGTCATGACTTTTCCGACAACCCAATATACTGTGAGCCACATATGTAATGTAAGTTTTCTGATAGCTACATTGAAAAGTCAAAACAAGGGCATTAATTTTAATTATATATTTTATTTAATGACCCACTGTATCCAAGATATTGTCATCCAACATGTAATCAATACAAAAAAATTTAATTAGGTAGTTTATTCTTTTCTTCATACTAAGTCTTCAAAATCTGTGTGTTTTGCACTTACAGCCCATCTCAATTTGGACTCACCACATGTGGCTCATGGCTACCATGTTGTACTGCCCAGCTCCAAGATCTCAAGAAGCTTATAGTCTGATGAGGATAGCTTACCAAATATTGTCTTTGACTTAAAATGCCATGAAAAACCAAATGTCATTTATCCACCTGGGTCATTAATTCTTAGTAGAGGTTGTAATGCTTGATAAGATATTCTTTATAAAACAAAACCTTTGGTGAGATTTTTACCTAGGCAGCCTCAAAGTTTTTTATTTTACTAATCTAAAAGGGAAAATGTGCTATTTTTGGTACCTTTTTTCTTGAGACTTTTACTGTGGTTTTTGAATAGATTTGCATAAAATAGAAAACTTTTTTTCCTATTTAGCTGCACAGAGAAATGGGAACATCATACAAAGAGGGCATCTTGTAATAATACATATAAAGTTCTTATCCTAAAAAAAATTTTGTTTGCTTCTTAAACCTTGTGTGAAGGGCATCTCCTAAAAATAGAAACATCTTTTCTTAAAAGGTAAAAAACAAAGCTCCAGCTGAGGTACAGATAACTGCCGAACAACTCTTAAGAGAAGCTAAAGAAAGAGAACTTGAGCTTCTTCCACCTCCACCTCAACAGAAGATCACAGATGAAGAAGAATTAAATGATTACAAACTAAGGAAAAGGAAGGTCAGTCAATGTGATGTCTTTCGGTATGTTATATTGTTAAGAATTTATAGGTCAGAGTTTGAAAAGTTCCTCATGGGTTAGAGAGACTAAGATGAGAAGAGGTTAGTGTTTCTAGCCACCTAAATAATATAACTTCTGGCTACCAGATAACTGCATTTTACTGAACTTTATGAAATATACCATGAGTTGTCTATTTTAGAGTATAAAGAAATTAAGTCCATAAGAAATACAATTTTTGGTGCTGAATCAAAGATGGGCGGAAGTTTAACAGGTGAAACAACTGGCAGCTGGAAGAGGGGTGGACTTAACAAGACTGTGTCTGCTTCTGTGTATACCGCCCTCTGTGTTAAGAATTAAGATGGGAGAGATCCATGGGAAGACTGGGGGTCTGGGCTGACCAGCTCACTCTAGAATGTGGGATTATTTTAAACCACTAATCCTGTCGTAATGCTTATTAGTTATCCTCAATTAGGTGTGAAATTCTGAGACGTTATCAAAAAGACTTAATCAAAAGTGTTTTCTTTAAGAACAAGTACAGTATATTACAGTATCAGTTAGTTGTTATGGGTAATAGGAAATACCAACAATTCTGCTAATAACTCTTTACATCTAAAGCTTCCCTCTTGTTTGCATGTAAGATTTTAAAGAAACATTTGTGATTGTAACCTTCTGTTATTTCTTAACGATTGCAGGATATAATTTCTCTTAAATAAGAACAGAATGAGTAACCTTTTTAGTACAAGGATTAATAGACAAAGGATGATGTCAGTTTTAGTTATTTCCTCTTTAATTTGACCTTTTTAACTTCCACCAGACTTTTGAAGATAACATAAGAAAAAATAGGACTGTGATTAGTAACTGGATAAAATACGCACAATGGGAAGAGAGTCTAAAGGAGATTCAAAGGTAAAATTGCTGACCATGTAATTTGGCAAATAAAGATGTCATAAATTAACAAATTGGAAAAGTTAAAGCACAAATGAAAGATTGTGTTTCTGGTAGTAATTTTCAAAGTTTGTTCCATGGAACCCTAGGGTTCCTTTGAGGTGTCTCAGGGGCACTGTGATAGGCTAGTCCTGGGGGGAGCCAAGAAGAAGGCTCTACAGGTGGGTCTTACCACCAGCACACACTCTTCAGCCATAGAAGTACAGTGTCATCTACTTTCTGTATATTGGGATTTTTTTTTTTTAATGAAAATTGTTTCCACTGATGAAAATCATGACCTCGTCCCTCCTGTTTTCCAGCCTTTCTGTGCTCTCCAAGCATACTCCTGGCCCCTACTGTGCCTGCATACTTGCCACTCCCTGAACACATCATGTCTCCTTCTATGACACTTGCCTGTTCTCTCTGCCTGTAATGAATACCCCTCCCCAGCACCATGTCCTCTGGGACTTTCCTCAAATTCCAAATTTGTTCTCAATTATTGAGTTACCTTCTGATTAGCCTTTTCCACCAGACATTTTTCTTTCTTTCCCTCTATTTCGTTGTACAGATCTTCACCATAATTCATATTACATTATAATTACATGCATGTCTATCTTTCTCTAAGTCTTTATAAGTTTTGTAAGAACACTATATCTTTTCACCTTTTTATCCCCAGAACTTGGCTCATGGGGACACCTGATAAAATTACAGGGCACTGCAGGTGGTTTGAAATAGTTACTACGTGTGTTGTCTGTACTGCTGTTGAGGCCTTCCGAATTTTGCTTCCTAAGGGCTCGATCCATATACGAACGTGCTTTAGATGTGGACTACCGAAATATTACACTTTGGCTGAAATATGCAGAAATGGAAATGAAGAATCGTCAGGTAAACCATGCCCGAAATATCTGGGACCGGGCCATAACAACTCTGCCTCGAGTCAACCAGTTCTGGTAAGTTTCTGATCCAATGAAATGTTGTTTTGTAGACTAGAAAAGCTCCACATTTGTATATTTATTTCATTTACATAATTGTAATCATATATATGTATGTAACATATATATAATCATATATATGTATATAACTATATACATGTATAAGCACTTTTTAATGTCCTATAGTCTGTTAAATCATAATCAGTGTATAATAGCTGTGTAATCGAAACTAAAATTTTGATTGCAATTTTTATGCTTAAGAAACTTGTTGAACTAAGTAATTTTTAAGAAAACTATATTTTTTTCTAATAGTTCATCCTTTTCAGATTTACATTTTAATAAGAAAACAGGTTGTGATTTAACCTTTAGGGAAGATAAAGTCTTAAATCTTCTTCACATTTAACAAAGTTAGAACCAGAAATTGCCAAAGAACAGTTTTTCCCTAAGTCATTTTAACCGTGACACATATTTTCGGATGATTTTGTTAAAGGTACAAGTACACATACATGGAGGAGATGCTGGGAAACATAGCTGGCGCCCGGCAGGTGTTTGAACGCTGGATGGAATGGCAACCTGAGGAGCAAGCCTGGCACTCCTACATCAATTTTGAGCTGCGATACAAAGAGGTGGATCGGGCCCGCACCATTTATGAGCGATATATCCTTTGGATGAGGTCTGAGTGGTGCTGCTCTTGTTCTGGATGCTGTTCCTCCTGTGGAATTGTAGTCATATTCAGGACAAGTAGTCATTATGTTGGCCTAGAAATCAAGGATGCAGATTTCATCTGCTTCATAAGCTACATATATATTTTCTAGGAATGTAGGTTGGTCAGGAAAAAAGTTTGTGGTCTGGGTAATTGTTTGAGTCTTTTCCAGTGAGACTTTGGATTTGTTTGTTTTGGCACTAATGCCATGATTGCTTGTAGAAAATGATGCACTAAGGTCCTGGCTGCTATAGCCAGTCCTTTATTTCTGTGGTTTAAGTTGGCCATTAGCACCATTAATGGAGTCCATCCAAAGGTTTACTGTTTATTAGCCATGTGACCCCAGTGAGTCAGTTATTCCTTTGAGCCTTGGTATCCTTATCTTTAAAACGAGAATAAAGATCCCTACTATGGGCTAGTTATGAAGATAAGATGATAATACGTGAAAGCACTATTAGCAACTTAACTAGTCGATCCTCATTATTTACTGTTTCCATATTTGTGTATTCTCCGACTTGCTAAAATGTATTTGTACACCAAAAGTCAATATTTGTGGCACTTTCACAGTCATTTGCAAACAAGCACAGAGTGATGAAAAACTTGAGTCACCCAAGGCATATGATCCCAGCTAAGGTGATAATCTGCCTGTTGTCTCTGCTCTCATACAGAGATGATCAGGAGATAGAAGCAGATGGGGCAGTGCAGTGAAGGCCAGGAAGCTCCGGCTTGGGGCCAGTTGGGCAAGTTTGAATTCTTTCCTTTTCTGGCTCCTGTTAGTGGGTAGCCTCTGGCAAGTCACGTAACACTTCTGAACCTTGTTTTCTCTTTTATAAAATAACAAAAATAGAATCTAAGGATTAGTTGTTTTTAGGATTTAAGATTATAACCTATATTAGATATGTATTGTACATACATACTTCTAGGAGCACTGATTTTGCTAATCGCTGTTTTATGAAGTCACTGTTCACAGTGACTTCATAAAACATAACTAACACATAATGAGAATCAGCTTTATTGTGCAATTTTAAGATCTTAATTACCTCTACTTATTTTAATATTATTAATTTAACAAAAGCTTTTATAGCACTTGCTGTGTTGTCAGGCATTGTTCTAAGTACTTTACAAATATTGTCATTTAATCCTCATGACAACCCTGTGATCCAGGAACTATTCCATTCTACAAATGAGGAAAATGAGGCGTGAGAGATTCAGTGGCTTGACCAGGGTTTGTCAGGTAGTGATGGAGATGGGATTTGAACCCAGGAGCAGCCTCAGAGCAAAGGCTCTTAACATAATTGCCATATTTAAACATATTGCTACTTTGGAAATTAATGATTTCCTCAAGGAAGTAGATTAAAAAGATATATCCTAGTAAATAAACTGGTAATTCAAAACTTTTTCTTTTGGCTCTAGTTAGGACTTTTTGTGACTTGTTTTTTCTTTTTTTTTAAGATTTTTTGTTGGGGAATTGGGGGAAGAAACAAAGTTGGGGAATCGGGGGAAGGGGAACAGACAAGTTCCTGTCCTTTTTGTTCTTCAGTCTAGTTGTGGAGGACGTCGCTTCACTGGCCCATGTTGGTATTGTGATTATTGAGCTCTTTCCGGCTGAGGCAGATCAGTTGCCAGCCACTGAACAGTTGTTCACAGCGGCTGTTGGCAGCTCACGCTGGCTGCCGGCCACTCACGCCAGCTGCCAGCCACTCACGGTAGCTTATGGCAGCCCACTGCAGCTCCACTGGAGCCTACGCCGCCGACTTACGGTTGCCCAGCTCCAGGTCAGCTGTTGTTCACCATCTTAGCTGTAGAGGGCGCAGAGTCACTGGCCCTCATATGGGATCCGAACCGGGGTCCTGCTGCTCAGAGCTGGAATCCCAAGCCAACTCTTAACCAACGCGCCACTGAGCCGGCCCTGAGCACATTCTTTTGGCCAGAAATTAACCAAGAGCTTTACATACATTTTCGCATTTAAAGGCATCAGTCATCCAGTTAGGTTGGTATTACTTTCCTCTATTTACAGATGGTAAAACTGAGGCTTAGACAAGTTAAATGACTTGTCCAGATCACTTGGCTAATAACCAGGGTTCAGCTTTTTCATGGCTCCAGGAACCTATCTGTACCACTACTAAAATATTGAATAAGCACTGAAGAAAGACAGAGATGAACAAGACCCAACTCCCTCACAGGGGTCACAGTGTAGTGGTCCTCTGCCTTTGTACATGTCTTATCAACCTCATAGTTGTTGTAGCTTGCATTGTTGGGGTGTTTGGTTTGGGTTTGGGGTTTTTTTTTGAGCCACGTTGTCTTGCCTGGAATTTCTTTAATTCCCCTGCACTTGTACTTGTGCACCCCGACGTTAAAAACTGGATCAAGTATGCCCGCTTTGAAGAAAAACATGGTTATTTCGCCCATGCACGGAAAGTGTACGAAAGAGCGGTTGAATTCTTTGGAGATGAACATATGGATGAACACCTTTATGTTGCCTTTGCCAAATTTGAAGAAAATCAGAAAGAAGTAAGTAAGCTTAAAGGACTCAGTTACGTTGCAAAACAGTTTAGAAAAGATTACCTCTTGTGAACATTGAGTTAATTTCCATTTTCTTATTCACTTATCATTGGAGAAAATGTTTTCAAAATACAAAAACTATTTCTCAGAAAAAACAACATGCAGTTGTGTCTAAGCTACAGGTTGGGAGCTGAGTGATTATAGATTGTGTTATAACTGTCTTAATTTTGTTGTGCTTTGCTTGAAAATTAAGCCTTTAAATCTGGAGTAAGAATATTGTCTGTAAACTGAGAGTTAGTCACTTGGTATCCTTATTAAAGGGCTTTACAGGTAATAAACCTAAGGAACAAAAAGCCCAGAGCCCTCAGAGAATAGAATTTGAAATAAGTATTGAAGGGTTTTAGGAAGAGAGTGGTAGGGTATAATTTATATTGTAAAGAGAGCCTCTAGTTCATTTATGGAGGTTGTGTTGGGGAAGGGTGGCAAAAGTAGATGAAAGGAGACTTTTGAAATGGTCCAGGGAAAAATGGAAATAGATTGGCAGGAGGTTGGGAAAGAGTGAAGGCTATATTGAAGGAGTAGAAATGGTAGGGCTTCGTGAAGCAGTGACTGTGGGGAATGAGGAATGGAGAGGAATCAAGGTAGGGATTTTAGCTTGAGCAAGTAAGTGTGTGATAGTTGGTTTTGCTTATCAAGATTGGGAAGACTGAGAAAGACTCGGGTTTAGTGGGGAAAAACAGGAGCTCAGATTGGGACCTTTCAGTCTGAGATGCGCAGATGACGTCCAACTGGCAGTGTTAGGTAGACAGGATTAAATGTGGAACTCAAAGGAGAGGCAGTCCATCCTGACTGAAATACCTCAACAAAGGGAGAAGAATCTCATTTTGGACACTTTGAGGCTTAAAAATATAATCTATGTAATGTTTTATGTCATAATTACTTTGCTAGTCATGACTAGAATGTGAATGTTGTGATATGGCAGATAATCATCCTGTCTGCTTTTAGTTTGAAAGGGTACGCGTGATCTACAAGTATGCCCTGGATAGAATTTCAAAACAAGAGGCCCAAGAACTCTTCAAAAATTATACCATCTTTGAGAAGAAGTTTGGTGATAGGCGGGGTATTGAAGATATCATAGTGAGCAAACGGAGATTCCAGTATGAAGAAGAAGTGAAGGTGAGTGCTGGTGTAGATGCTTAACTCTACAAGTTAGTAAGATGTGCCAGCCAATACTAGGTACAGTAAAATGAGTAATAGCAAATTAAGGCTGCCAGTGATTATGCTCTTGATAATGTGTATGCAATAAATGGACAGCTATCTCAGGAGGTTGGAATAAATGAGGCTGATAGGAAAGGCAAGCAAACGACACTTGGATTTGCTCTGCCACTCACATGTTGAAAGTTACTTTTATTGCTGATTGTGTGCTATAAAACTTGAGCAAAATAAATCTGGAATCCATTTGAGCTTATTTTTGAAAGAAGATTGATTCAAAAAGCCAGTTTGTATACATTACCTTTTAGCTTAACTGCTCGAATGAAAGATGTATTGTAGATGTGGTTCTATTCTCATCTCTTTATGTATATAATATACTATTTTGATTTGAATTCAAAAATAGCATTTTCAAGATAGCTCCAAACGAAGGACTAAGTCTGGTGTTAAATGAAGCCAATGAGATGTGTTCAAGATAAGTTACTATTAATGGAAAAGCCAAGTTTCACAATTGTGAGCATGGTATACGAGTAATTCCATAGTAATATTAAATTTAGACATAATACATAGTCATCTATCATTGTACACCATTCTGCATTGCGTGGTGAAATCTCGAGCCATCCCGCTTGGTCCTACCTGGGACATAAATCATCCATTTGTCCAGCATCTCCATGCTATATATACTACCCACCTGTTAGTCACTTAGTAGCTATCTTGGTTATCAGATTGACTATCGCAGTATCACAGTGCTTGTTCAAATAACTCTTATTTTACTTAATAATTGCCCCAAAGCATGAGAGTATAAATTTTATCATAGGTATGTATGTTAGGAAAAAACACAGTATATATAGGGTTCAGTACTGTCCATGGTTTCAGGCACCCACTGGGGGTCTTGGGACATATTCCTCACAGATAAGGGAAGACTACTGTATTCCTTATTCTTTTTCATTTATAAAATCTCAGAAATGGTATTTTCTAAATGAGATAGCATGTAAAATTTAGGAAAAATATTTGCTAAAATATAGAAAGTCTGGTGCTTTCTTTTAGCTCACATAGTCCAGCAAGTGTAGCTCTTGGTTTTGTTTTTGTTTATTAAACTTATTGTCATTCTAGGCTAATCCACACAATTATGATGCGTGGTTTGATTACTTACGCTTGGTGGAAAGTGATGCAGAAGCAGAAACTGTACGAGAAGTCTATGAAAGAGCTATTGCCAATGTCCCACCCATTCAAGAGAAGAGGCATTGGAAGCGCTACATCTATCTTTGGGTCAACTATGCACTCTATGAAGAGCTGGAGGCAAAGGTAAAAAATGGAATTAGGTATCAACTCTTAATGATTTCCTCACCCCAGTGCTTAAAGCTCGCTGTTGTGGGTAGTAACTGATATTTACAGTCCTTGAAACAGGGGAATTTAGTTTTAGATTACTAATAAGCTTTCATTCAGCCATATAGTTGTATTGTCTCTTTGTAACATTTTAAACCTGTTGTAGGCACAGGTGAGGTGTTTTTATGTTTTGTTGTATTTTGTTTTTTTAAACTTTAAGGCACAACAAGATTATCACTTGGAACTTGAAAGGCAACAATATACCAGCCATTAGTTTAATTATACATAATTTCCTGGGTTTGCTCATAAATCGGGACCATGGCTAGATTGCACATTTTTGGTTTTAGTGAAGATCAAGTGGGATTTTCAGAAATTGGTCATGTATAAGTTAATAGAAAAAGATTAACTTTCTGCTGTTGATCTGAGAGCATAAAACATATTTGTTTTTTTCTGCTATCAGGCAAAAAGCCTTCCTACAGAGAAGCTCTCAGAGTGTGATGGCTATATTGTTGGTGATTCTTAAACCAAAGTTTGATGGCTAAAGGTAGTTCACACTTTTGATCATAAATGGAATCAGAGTTTGAAAATAGCAACTTCTGAAAACATATTCAGTGTTGGAGGTGTACATTTTTTACTACTAAAATTAGAATTAGCAACAAATTTCAATATTTTGTGAAAATTTCTCATCCTAATACAGGATCCCGAGAGGACAAGACAGGTCTATCAGGCCTCTTTGGAACTAATTCCTCATAAAAAGGTACATCTGCTCCAAATGTCAAAATCCTGCTTCTGTTACTTGTAAAATAATTCAGTGAAATAATGTTTATTGATTGACTGTTTCCCTGTGCTAGGCACCATAGAAAACAAATAAGAACGAGATATGCTCTTTCCCTCTGAAAATAGTCGAGAGGGCAGCTTTTGACAAATAATACAGAAAATAATGCAGAAATTCAGAGGAGAATGGGTAATTAGAATAGACTGAGTAGAAGTCTGTTCCACTGAGAGGAAAATGCACATTGAGAGAGTACACAGTATGTGCAGGCAGTAATGAACAGGTGTTGGCAGCTGAGTGGATGTATGCATGCATAGGTAAACACGAGTGTGCTCTGGAAATGGTTGAGACATTATCTCTGCCATATTTCTCAGCACAAGAAACTAATAGAGATGTTGCTCGAATTATCCTCTAGAATAAAGATGGCATGTTCTATTCTTTCACAAGCATATCCACAAAAAGCAGATTCTAGGTAGGGGCTGCTGGGCCACGCAGTATTATACAGTTCCTAGCTTACTGGGGTTTTTTGTTTTCTTTGTTTGTTTGTTTTGTAATTTTTGTGAAATATTGTAATCTTTGCTTATAAACAAGAAAAAAACACCTGTCCTAGCTCTGAAGTTTTAGATGAATCTAAGTAATTGCCTGTAGCCTTTTGTTAATTTAAATTAAACTTAATTCAATTTAATTTAAATGAGTCTCTTAAGCTAGATGTTGTTGTGCTTTTGTTTTCTAGTTCACATTTGCCAAAATGTGGTTACTATATGCACAATTTGAAATAAGACAGAAAAATTTACCATTTGCCAGAAGAGCTTTGGTAAGTAAAGAAAAGATCAAGATGCATCATTAAGTTCTATGAGAAGAAAATTAAAGTCTTGGTGCTTAAAAGTTGTACAAATCCTACTAAGAAAGCCTTTAAAACTTGAGACGTGTTAGAAAACACATGCCCTTTGAAGAAAGATTGGATAATGATGCTTAAATTGTTTTATTCCAGTATTGGATGGAAACTTTATCTGTAGCTACCAGTTACCAGATCTTTTGTCAGACTAGAGAGATCTGATCTTTAGTATAGTCTGATCCTGTGCAAAATTTTTGGTGTATTAAATGCACCTCCCTCTTAACAGTTGTTCTAAAATGTCTTAATAGGATTAGGTACTGTTTAAATGTAGTTGTGCTTCTGATGAACTACTCTCACCCTGGCTGTGGGCAGCAAGGCAGGGTTCGTTCTTTGATTTACCTTTTAATTTATAGATTTTATACATCTGATATCCATATTCCCTAGGAGAACCTGACAAAATCCAAAATAGTTGTAAAATCCAAAAGAGTAAAATCCAAAATAGTTGTCCAAACAACTCTGGTACAGTGTTCTCTTGCTGAACAGGCACCAATGGGCATAGGCTCTTTTGACAGCTGCGTGAATTAGGGGGTTCCCTTTGGCTTTTTGTCAAGAACCATCACGGACAGTATGATACCACAGAGGGAAAGAGTGGCTTACCATGTTGGCTCTTGAAGGTTCTTGCTCAGCAGAGAACAGCTTCTGGGATAGGTCGACAATGTCTGTGCACAAGTTAAACCCATTAAAGTATCACAGCAATTGGTCATTTTCTTTTCCAGGGAACTTCCATAGGCAAATGTCCAAAGAACAAGTTATTTAAAGGTTACATAGAATTGGAGCTGCAGCTTCGAGAATTTGACAGATGCCGGAAGCTTTATGAAAAGTTCCTGGAATTTGGACCTGAAAACTGTACCTCTTGGATTAAATTTGCAGAATTAGAGACAATCCTTGGCGATATTGAGAGAGCACGGGCAATCTATGAGTTAGCCATCAGCCAGCCACGCTTAGACATGCCAGAGGTGAGGATCTCAAGTTGAACAGAATTTTGTTTTAGACACTTCTCTAGAATTACTTTAGATGACCATCTATATGTGTGTGCATTTTAAAGCATAAAGATGATCTAACTAACTTCCAGTCTTTTCCACTCAGATTAGGACTTTTCTGTTTTGGAGATAGAAAGGTGGGGGTACCAGAGCACAGCAAAGCCCCATTATGACACCAGGCTGAATTGAGATGTAATGGGTGGGTGACTGGCTTTATTCTTCTGTTTCTCAGTCAGGAGGCTAAAGAGTATGAGATAGGGAAATAGGCAGCGGGCAACCCCATTCGGAGAACAAGAGAAATGGATGTTGAGATTGCACATCCCTGGATTCTCCTGGCACAGTTTTGTCTGGATTGGGCTTGCAAAAGAGACACTAAGTAAACGAAGATGTTCTGGAATTACTACTGTCACTGTCCTGGAAGTCCTGGCCTGCATGCAGCAGGACCCAAAATCATCCCTTCAGTATTTAAGCTTGAGCCACAAGGTGGCGCCAAACCACAGTTGGCTAATTTGAGTCTCAAACCACTGATATTCATTCAGCCATTTTGTTAATCTTGCACAAATATCACCCACATTTAATGTTTCACTAGGCCCCACTGATTACATTAGGGCAGGGCTTTTTGTATTACTAGTTCCATTGGTTGGCTTCAGCTCCTCCATAGACTGCCAGCTCCAGGGAGCCTGGGCCACATCTTGGTGCTTGTTGAGTTGAACTAAAACATAGCAAGAATTTAGTGGAGGTAAAAATAGTATATACTGACTAATCTAGGCCTATTTTCTCCCTGCAAGTTCAGTTGTCTGTAGCACTGTCATGACAGCGCCCGAGGGACTTGGCAAGTTTCTCACCTCTTCTTAATAAGTCCAACATGTGAAAAACTCCAAAAGAGAATGCGAAGTTGAATTCAAGGCCTTTCTTCTCATAATGTAGAACTTTTAACCAAGTTTGGTCAGCTTTTAAATGCGAGTATTATTTATTTTATCCATATGCTGTCTGTTCTTTAGTTCTTCATAAAAGCCCTAGGTTCCTGTATGTTCTAGGTAGGAATAGTAGTTAAGCTGTGCTTTAGATAGGGACATGTTGCTTTTTAAATGTCGTCTGACCTATTAAGTGCTCTTTCTTAGGTGCTTTGGAAATCATATATTGATTTTGAAATTGAGCAGGAAGAAACTGAAAGAACACGCAATCTTTACCGACGATTGCTTCAACGGACACAACATGTCAAGGTATCCTGTGCTTTATAAATTATCTTTGATTTTGCTTGAATCAGCAGTCTTGAAGAAATACTGTATTTCTGTGTTTAAGTGTTTTCTAAAATATATTTATTTTGAATGATTTCCTGCCTTTTAAAGAGAACCTGTGAGTCTCAGAGGACTTTGGAATGTTAAGCTTACACCAGGTCAATACATATTTTAAAAAATTATTTTTTTCCAGTTACAGTTGACATTCAATATTATATTTCAGGTATACAGCATAGTGGTTAGACATTTATATAATTTATGCAGTGATACCCCTGATTAGTATCCACTTTATACCAGGTCAGTATTTATACACATGTGAATAACTTGAATATCACAGGGATGAATAAAAAGTTAAAACTCTTCTCATGGTTTTAAGACTATTTCAGATACCTAATTGGATTTAGAAGCAGACTACTTCAACATTAATATATTGAAGCATGTAGTGAATATTCTTTGGAATATAGAAGTGAGCACATTACTGTGTTCAGATGTTATTAACAAATTAGTTTTATTATTATTACATTATTATCATTTGGGTGACATGGTTAATTTGGCTCTATAATCTTTTTTAAAGGTATGGATCAGTTTTGCTCAGTTTGAGTTGTCTTCAGGGAAAGAAGGAAGTTTGGCTAAATGCAGACAAATTTATGAAGAGGCTAACAAAACCATGCGAAACTGTGAAGAAAAGGAAGAAAGACTTATGCTGCTGGAATCTTGGCGAGGCTTTGAAGATGAATTTGGATCTGCATCAGATAAGGAGAGAGTAGACAAACTCATGCCAGAGAAAGTCAAGAAGAGAAGAAAGGTTCAGGCTGATGATGGGGTAAGAACTTGTCCCCTGGAGATGGTCTTCTCATGTTAAATGAGCAGAAATGGATCAGACAGTCGTACTTTTTAGTGGCATATGTACAATCTGAGAATGGGAGCAGTCAGCCTGGAGTACTAGACAGTTGCAGTATGGCTAGTATGGAAACAAAGAGTGCATAGTTCACCCTGGGTGGAGATTAGGAAGAGAGTTGGGAAAGGCTTGTTGGCTGATTCTAGGAACTACATGAAGTGTGATATTTCTAGGGCATTACACAGCAAGTCAGGATGGAGGGAAATGGAAATCAACTTTTTAGGTAGGCGCCAATTCAGAGAAGGCTTTGTAGGCTAGTCATTGGCACCACCTGCAGGTGGTGGACTTGAGGGGCTGATTGGAGGAGGACCTGTCAGGAGGCTGTTGTAAGCAAAGCAAATGGTGGTGGAAGCTGGAACTAGGCGACCTTTAGGAAGTGAAATCAGTGACCCACTGGAGGTAGGGATGTTAGGGCAGGGATTCAGAATACTGTATTTTGCCGTGTATAATTTGCTCCCTTGTATAATGCGCACCCACGTTTTTGGCCTAAACTTTAATTTTTTTAATTCAAATTTTTATTTTACATATAGGTACTTATTTTTTGTATTATAAAGGAATTTTAGCATTTTTTTTTTTAAGATTTTTATTGGGGAATTGGGGGAAGGGGAACAGACAAGTTGCTATCCTTTTGTTCTTTTTTTTTTTTTTAAGATTTTTATTGGATAATTGGGGGGATGGGAACAGTGATGGGGAATTGGGGGAAGGGGAACAGACAAGTTGCTGTCGTTTTGTTCTTCAATCTAGTTGTGGAGGACGTTACTTCACTGGCCCAAGTTGGCACCATCATTGCACTCTTCCCTGGCGAGGCAGATCAGTCGCCGGCTTCTGGACGGCCGCTCACTCCGGCTGCTGGCCGCTCACGCTGGCTGCTGGCTACATATGGTAGCCCATGGCAACCCACTGCCACAGGGACTGCAGCCTACGCTTTCGCCAGCGACTCACGGCAGCCCAGCTCCAGGTTGAACTGTTGTTCAGCATCTTAGCTGTAGAGGGCAGTGTCACTGGCCCTCATATGTGGGATCCGAACCGGGCCCTCTGGCATCCCAAGCGAGTTCTTAACCATCGCGCCACTCGGCCGGCCCAGCATTTATTTTTTTAAACATTATGGTACAAGAAATTTTATGTAACAAATAATTACAAAACACAAGAACAGATACAAGGTATAAGACAATATTTATGCATCATAAGAGGCCAAGAACTCTTTATCATTGCAAGTTTGTTGTAAGTTCAACAAAACCAATGGTCATATTCCAGGGTAATATTTTGCATACGGATATCATAATTGATTTCTAGAGTTACACTTTTAACTCATAAGCATAAATAAAAGAATTAAAAACATTTATATAGATACAGAATTAGTACTTCCCATGTATAATGCACATTCTTATTTTTCCCTTACCAATTTGGGCAAAAAAGTGTGCATTATATACGGCAAAATACAGTAATTATGCACAGATATATGGCTTTTACTACTAGATAAATATTAAGTAAATCTTTACAAATTTTGAACTTTAAACAGACTGCAGGATGGAGTTGGAGACAGTATCTTCTTGGCTGACTGTAGAGAAGCTGTGCTTAGATTTTTAGAATTTTTTTCCACCAGGTTTTTAACTCTCACACTTGCAGCAACACCAATCCAGCAGCTACTTATTCACTCCCAGTCTTCAAGGCCCAGCCCTTGTGCTTTCTGTAGTAGACTTTGATGTTGTTTTGTAAAATGAAAAGTTGAATTTTAACTCTGGGTTTCCCAGTGAAAATTTCTCTACTTTAACGGAAGTGTATTTACCTTAAGTTAGCTTATCTTCTAATTGTTTTACTTTTCTATAGTCTGATGCAGGCTGGGAAGAATACTATGATTACATCTTTCCGGAAGATGCTGCCAACCAACCTAACCTCAAGCTCCTGGCCATGGCCAAACTTTGGAAGAAACAACAGGAAAAGGAGGAGGCTGCTGAACAAGACCCGGACAAGGACATTGATGAGAGTGAATCTTGAGCTTCTTATTCATACTGATGTTTTATTTTTATAAATTTTTTGGAACTCTTGTGACTCCTGTAAGTTTTTGTATATTTCACCAGTAATGAACTGATTGGAATCTTTGGCAGCTACTTTTTGAATTATTTTTTAAATGCTGTTGGGCTAGCTAGGGGTTGGGGGTTGCAAGTAAAGGAATTTTCTTAACTGCTAAATTTGAGTCCAAACATTTTTGTCCACATAGTGCATTAGCTATTCTAATTCAAATAATGCTTAGCATCTATTTTAGAAAGAACTGTGGGCTTCTGAAAGAACCTTTTTCTAGAAGTTTTCAAGTTATATTCTGTAGTAACTTTTAAGGTATAGTTTTCTCATGCCTTCATAAAGATATTTCTTCATAGCTATTTATGCATTCATCTGAAACCTGCAACTTTGCAACTTTTTCATGGTTTCAGACTCACGCTGACTTGAGTTCCATTCCCAGCTCTACTACTTAGTGATATGTAACTTAACCTTTATTTTCACTTTCTTAACTCATAAAATGGGTTAATACTTTGCCAACTCCTTTTGAAGATTAAACTAGAAAAGGACTATACCTGATGCATAGTTAAGTGCTCAATAAAATATTCATACCTAGCCACTTAAATATATTAATTCCTTATAGAATTCAATATTTTTGGATTCATTTAACTTCTAAAATTCTTTCTTAATACTAGCCTTTTATACTAAGTGCTTTTCAAAACTAGTTGGAAAATAATTTACAGTTACTCAATTTCTGAATAAGGTTTTTTTACCAAGAACATTTTAGTCAAATTTCAGTTATGCCCTTAAATGTTTCCCAGAGTGGTTGAGTTGTGTAGTGGATTGTTAAAAGAATAGTATACGTGTGCCATGTAAAAACGATGTCCTATACTGAAATAAGCTAGGAAACCCTAGATTAAGGGTTAATTAAGCCTTGTTAGTCAAATCTCTTGATAGGCTTCTCAGAGCCTTTGATATACTACTGTATATATGAATTACCAGTAACAATGCTGGCAATATTTCCCAAACTTATTGGACAAGGGAATCATTTCTACCTGGAGTACCAATAAATATCTCCCAGTGTGCTACAGTAGAAAACATCCACCTGTTAACACCTGACACAGTAAACTTACCCTTGCTTTATAATGTGAAAACACCTAAGGTAACTAACTATATGCTAAATAATGAAACTTAAATAGCACAGTAACGTACTTACTGATAACATTACTCATATTCTCAAGCAAAAAATACTTACCTTAATTAACTGATCTGAGAGATTGTGTCCTGTATTTCTTAAACCTGTCTTCTGTGTTCACTGCCCAAGCTATTGGACTAGAACTATATATCTTTTTTTTTTTAAGATTTTATTGGGGAATTGGGGGAGGGGAACAGACAAGTTGCTGTCCTTTTTGTTCTTCCGTCTAGTTGCAGAGGACGCCGCTTCACTGGTCCATGTTGGTATTATCATTGTGCTGTTGTTCCCGGGTGAGGCAGATCAGTTGCCGGCCATTGGATGGCTGCTCATGGTGGCTCACGCTGCCTGCTGGCCACACACAGCTTACGGCAGCCCACTGTAGACCCACTGCAGCCTATGCCATCACTTGTGACTCATGGAAGCCCAGCTCCAGGTTGAGCTGTTGTTCACCATCTTAGCTGTAGAGTGTGCAGCGTCATTGGCCCATGTGGGATCTGAACTGGGGCCCTGCTGCTCAGAGCTCGCGCTCCTAAGCCAACTCTTAACCAACAAGCCATTTGGCTGGCCCAGAACTATATTATTTTTCACCTGTAAAGATGATTAGCAAATTTATTATCTGCAAATTTAGTTGGGGAAATTAATCACTAAATTTCTAAGTGTATTCACCCAAGGAATAAAAGCTAATCAATATGTTACTAAATTGTATCTTAAAAATAAGAGTTTTTGAGAGCAGAATAATAGGATTGTTAGTATTAAAAGCAAACCTGTTTTCAGCGTCACTGGTTTAGATATTGGACCAGTGTTAGCTGTGAGGGTGTCAGGTTCTGACTGTTCAGTACTTGAGGTCTGACTAGTCAGGAAGAACATTTGTGATTTTAGTATCTTTGGCAAAGTGCGCAGAGTCAAGAAGGGAGATGAAAATGGGTCAAAATCCTAATGTGACTAATCATAGAGTCTTGCTAAAATTCTGTTCATGTTGCATGTATGCATAAGAAAAACAATTAGTGATCATGTTTTCAGTGTAACACTTTCTGACAAGTGCCAGTGTGAAATGCATGAAGGAAAAAGTTGTTCTCTCTTAGTAGAACATAAAGGATTAATTTCTCTCTCAACTTGACCAAAAGAAGTCCTTTCAAAAGCAAAAGCTTTTTAATAATCATTTCCATGAGTTTTTCTTTAGCTACTACTTTTACTCAACTGGATATTTTTATATATTACAGGTGATGAAAATTACACATGAAAATACCTGATTGGCCTGTGATCTAGTTACACAGCCTTTATTTAGGAACTACGTTCTCTTTTCCCTTTAAATAAACCTCAGCATCTTTTTATATTTTGAAAGGCAGTATTTAAGCAAAGTATTGTGACACGAGACAAAGGATTCAGGCCTAACAGCATGAAAACAAGTAATGGAAGAATTTACTACTCAATAAGAAGGAAACTTAAGTATGCCGGCCAGGGATTGTTTCAAGTGTGCATTTTTTAAATGTTTTATATGAGTCAAAAATTTAAGAGAAACAACATATCTTAAATGACACTTTCTCAATCCTTATTTTGTTTTATAAGTGACCAACAAACTTGCAGAAGAGAGCAGTGCATTTTATTATACAGCTTCAATTTATACATTTCATATATGCTTTTAAAGCTTCAATTAATAGTTCAATACAAAATAAAAAATATATGCAGCAGTGGTTCTCAGGCACAGAATTCAGGAGATTGGAGCAAGTTTTTCTGTAGCATAGAGTAAATATGATGAACCATGGTAGTGAAATGTTTCCTTCTGACCTAGCTGCCATTCTGATTGAATTTTATTACATTGACAGCTTTAGTAGGTGTGATATTACTAACTAGAAACAGTAAGATTTAAAGTAAGTTTATAACCTATATTTTATTGAAGTCTTTAAGACCTAAATGATTACTTTTCTCTAATAGAGCTCCAAGATCATCCAATGAAAATAATACTGTCCATAAAATATCTGGAGCATCAGCCTAAGAACCACTGTCCATGGTTATTCAATGTCTTCAGGCCTCACAGGATGAGGTAATGGTATAATGGATTTCTTCTCAGTGTCCCTGGAAAGTGCTTTCCTCATATCTGTTAGGATGCAAAGTTTAATGTAAGTTGATATCAAAATTTAAAGTGTATCGGTAAAGTTCCCTGAAGACATTTTGTCCCCTACCCCCACTTTCACTAGATTCTACGAGAAATGTCTTTATATAAATGAGAATCACAAATAACCAGATGCTAACCAACTAGGATTCAGCTTTCCATACAAATGTTCTTTTGACGGAATCTTAATAAAATAACATGCCTGTAACACAGTAAGACAGTAACTGACAGTATTAGCCATTGGTTAGTTAATATTTAAGTTGATTAGTGGTAGTTTTGTAAAGGCACATTTAATGAGATTTAAATATAACTTAAATTTTAAAAAAGTCCAACAAATATGATTTAAATTTACTAAAATACTTGGATGTCTGTAGAATGAATGTAAATGTTTGGCTTCCTCTTGGTGATTCTGCCACAGAAGAGAGCTTACCATAAGCGTCCTCGTCAGGCTCCCCATTGCTGGCTGAATAGTACTCTATGACCGTCCTATATACACTGTAGCCCAACTGCTTGTACATGTTGACTGCAACTTGGTTAGATACTCTTACAAAGAGATCAACAAAAAATCCACCTTTTCTTTAATTAAAAAAAAAAAGGAAAATGTTAGAATGTGAGAAACCCTAGAAAACAATACATATTTTAAAAAACACACTTGCTTTTACTTTGACTATGTACTCATCACAGCTGATTACATCATAAATCAATTTTTTTTATATTCCTGAGTATAACAATCATTTTGCAGTACAAAAAGATGACTTTGATTACATGCTAATATTTCAAAACCTACAATACATGTTTTCTTAAAAGATAAACTTTTTTTTTTTTTTAAAGATTTTATTGGGGAATTGGGAGAAGGGGAACAGACAAGTTGTTGTTGTTTTGTTCTTCAGTCTAGTTGTGGAGGATGTTGCTTCACTGGCCCAAGCTGGCACCATCATTGCGCTCTTCCCAGGCAAGGCAGATCAGTTGCCAGCTTCTGGATGGCCGCTCACGGCAGCTGCCGGCTACACACACTAGCTTATGGCAGCCCACTGCAGCAGGGGACTGCAGTCTACGCCATCGCCGGCGCCTCATGGCAAGCCCAGCTCCAGGTTGAGCTGTTGTTCAGCATCTTAGCTGTAGAGGGCAGTGTCACTGGCCCTCATATGTGGGATCCAACCCGGGGCCCTCTGGCGTCCCAAGCCAGTTCTTAACCAACGCGCCACTCGGCCGGTCCAAAAGATAAACTTTTTAAAAAGCATTTTTTTTTATAACTCTACCTTGCTTAAAAGACTGTGTATTTTGTCATAGTAATTTATATGCTCATTTTACCAATTAATCGTATAATACTTTCACTTATATGCACAAATTAAAGATTTTGAAGCAAGCACAAGTGTGGCCATGGCCCAAGTGTATCCATCTGTAGGACACTGGTCACACCCCTGAAGCCCTCAGGTCCCTCTAGTCAGTGAGAGTCCCTCCCTTACCCAGAGGTCTCCATGCCCTGACTCTTGTAATCATTAGCTTCTTGCTTTTTTGCTGTAGATTTACCACCTATTATATTTAGTTTCTCCTGTTTATGGATTTTATATAAATGGAAACATACTTTATATATTCTTTAGTGATTTGCCTCTCATTATTGTACAAGTCAGCCTTGGTATCGCTAGAGCTTGTTCTTCATTTTTCCAGTTTTTATTATTACAAACTATGCTGCTATGAATATTTTTGTTGTGTCTCTTATGGTACAATATCTAAGGTCTATAGCTACAGGTGTCATCGCTGGCTTATGAGGTATGCACATCTTCAACTTTATTAGGAGATGTCTGTTTCTCAACCTGCTTGTACCACCTTACACTCCCACAGAAGTGGGTTAAGACTCCATTTCCACAGTACCAAGACTTGCTGCATCAGACATTTTTATTTTTAAAAATTGTATGGTATAAAGGTATCTTGGTATTAACGGGCATTTTGGATTATTGACAAGGCTGAATATTTTGTTGGCCATTTAGATTTCTCATTCTATGGTCCTTATTGGTCTTTCACACATTCTTCTTTTTCTCCCCCCAGCTATAGTTCTCTATGTATTCTAGATATTCAGCATTGTGTAAACAATGTTAGAAATCTTTTTTCCAATTTGCAAATCTTTTTCCAATTGGTGGCCTGTCTTGTCATTATCCTTATGTATCTTTTGATAAACCAAGTTACACTTCAATGAACTTGAATGTATGAGCCTTTCCTTTACAGTTAGCACTGTTCATGGCTTATTTCAGAAGTTCTTTTCTACCCTAAGGTCACAGAGACATTCTTCTATATTATCTTCAAAGGGCTTTTTAATTTTGCTTTTCACATCTAGGTTTCTAATCTGGAATTGATTTGTGTACAATAAGGTAGTAATCTGGGAAAAATTTCTTCCACATGGATATCCAATTGTGCCACCACCTTTATCAATAAAGCTGAAAAGTGTATCATTTCACTGCGGATCTGCAATTGCGTCCTCTGAGGTATGTAAAAATCCATGTATTCCTGGGTCTTTTTCTTAAATTCTGTTTCCCTGGTCTAGACACAACTATTCCAGTCTTAACACAGTCTTACTCATTACAGCTTGAGATCTGAAAGGGCAAATCCACCCATTCTGTTGTTCTCTTTTTGGTTCTTTCCATTCCCCTATACGTTTTAGAATCAACTTCAGTCCCACAAGAAATACTTCAGATTTTGTTGGCAGTTATATTGGCTCTGTGGACTGATTACCAGTTTGCTATATATGAAGTCCTCTATGCCACAGAAGTAGTTGATCTTTCCACTTAAGATAGGTCATCTTTAACGTCTCTCATAGTTTTATAAACTCAGAAGTTTTGCACAGCTCTTGTTATATTTTTCCTATTTTTATTTTATTTTTGGGCTTAATGTATTTTGATGCCACTGCAAATGGCATCTTTTTGTAAATTTTACTATTTGTATAAAAATGCAATTGAATTTTTACTGATATATTTATATCCAACAATTTTGCTTAACTTTCGTTGATTCTAAACATTTATAGATTCTTGTGAGTTTTCTAGTTGCACAATCTTATCTGTGCAAAATGTTCTGTTTCTTCTCAATTTGCATACCTATTTTTCTTGTTTTACTGCACTGTCCAGTATTTCCAATGAATTCCTGAAGAGGGGCTGACTGTAGGCATCCTTGTCTTGTCCCAGATGTCAAAGGGAAAGCATTCAGTGCATCACCACCAATGTTTACTACAGGTTTTTTTTGTAGATATTCCTATTTCAGGTTTAGGAAGTTCTCCCCTTCTATTTTCTATTTTGCTAACAGTTTTTATCAAGAACGAACATTGGATTTTTATCAAAGCATTTTCTGCATTTACTGAGATAGGAATTGTTCTCCTTTAATCTATGGTAGAATATATTTACAGATTTTCTAATGTTAAGACAACCTCCCCCACATATATCATCCTTTTTACAAACTGCTGAATCCATTTTGCTAACATTTTTCTGGGATTTTTGCACTTATAATGAGATTTTCCTCAAATTTTCCTTTGTCATATTTGTCAGATTTTGTTATCAAGGTTATCCTAGCCTTAAAATATTAAGTTGAAGAATGTTCCCTCTTTTTGTCTGTGTAAAATTTAACTGATAGTCATTGCTTCTTAAATAGTTGGAAAAACAGTTTTCTTTGTGGAAAGATTTTTGGCTACTGATTGAAAGTCTTTAAGGCTAGGGTCAGTTCACAACCTATTTTTGTATGGCTCTCAAGCTAAAAATGTTTTTTTATAATTTTGAAGGGTTGTTTAAAAAAAAAGAGAAAAAAATATGCAATAGAGACTTTAGGTAGCCCACAAAGCCTAAATATTTACTATCTGGTCAGCAAAAATTTGTTGAGCCCTGTTCTATACCCTTAATCAATTTGTCTGATAGACCTATCAGTTATAAAAAAGCATGTTCAAATCTCCCATTATGATGATGATTTGTCAATTTCTCCTTGTAGTTTTGCAAGGTATTGCATTTTTACTTTGAATCCGTGTCACAGGGTACATAAAATTTTTTATTACAGCTTCCTGATAGATTCAATCGTCTATCAATATTCAGTGACTTTTTTACTCTGGTAATTATTGATCTATAACGTGACTATTAACATAAATGTGCCAACTGTCTTTCAGTTAAATTTGCATAATTTAAAAAATTACTTGTATCTTTAATCTTTACACATTTCCTATAAATAGAATACAGTGCTGAGAGTCTTTCCTCTTTTCAATTTTATTTTACTATCATAAGAACACTTAACATGAGGTCTTCCCTCTTAATAAATTTTAAATGTGTGACACATTATTGCTGACTTTAGGTACAGTGCTCTACAAGAGACTCGAGAGTTTATTCATCTTGCTGAACTGAAACTTTATGCCCACTTATTAGTAACTCCGTATTTCCCCCTCCTCCCAGCCCCTGGCCACCACTATTCCACTCTGATTCTATGAATTTAACTATTTTAGATATTTCACGTAAGTGGAATCAGTATAGTATGTATTTTTCTGTGACTGGCTTATTTCACTTAGCATAATATCCTCAAGTCTTTGTCTTTTAATGGAGTCATTAGTCAATTAACGTTTATTGTTATAATTACTGATAATATTTGGATTCAGTAATTACTGATAATATTTGGATTTATAGCTACCATCTTATTTCATGTTTTTTGTTTGTCACTTTCCTTTCCTTTTTCTCTCCTGAACTGATTTTTATCATTCATTGTTTTTTCTCTACTTGTTTAGAAATTATATAGTTTCTGTTTTTAATGTATACATTAAAATACATGTATATGTGTATGTGTGTATATAGGTATACACATACACCCATACAAATAAAGATCACTTAAATCTTAGCAACTATTCTAAAGTAATGAAAGTTTAGAAACAAAGGGAAAGAAACTCAGTGGTTTTCTACTTTTAAGAGAGAGAGACTCTAAAATACATTCAATCATATGTGCAAGGTTATAACTAATTAGAACCCATTTCCTAACTCCCCATCCACTATATAATAATGCCAAATAATTTTTTCAACATTTAACATTAACAAATATGTATAAACTATAATCTTGCTAAAAATTTTCCTTGTTCAGTTAGGGAGGATTTTTCAAATTCTTAAGGACTAGAGTTGATTTCTTTTTCAGGCTAACACTATTTCCTCTTTTCTCTGAATGAGCCCAAGCTCCTCTTGCCACCAACTTGGCTCAGCATTTTTAAGCCATGGTTATTTCTTTCAAGCTTACCTTTACTTAAAGTCCATTAAGTGAAAGCCTCACAAGCCCTTCTCAGCAGCTATTCCCTTTCCTATATACTTCTAGGCATTTAGAGTAGAGGAAAAAATGTCAATCTGACAACTGGTTAAACTTAAACACTTATCTCTTACAGAATGAATGGGCTGGCAGGAGTGGGGGGTCGTCTCTTTATGGTCATCTCACATAATGAGGGTGTTTGATACATACAACAGATCTTTAAAAACAAAACAAAACAAAAAAAACCCATAATGTTGGCAGTTCCCAAAACTGCTTCAAGGCATCCCAAGGTGCCCAAAAGTCATAGAGCTGCTGTAGGATATTTCAGATGTTCGGGAAAAACACAGACAAACCTTACATATCAGACACTAGCAAACTACAAGTTTGATGTAGTTCACAAATGCAACATATCATGTTACATTCCTTTTGATGAAATATCTTTATGAAGCCAGGTTTTTGGCAGTTCCTATGATTAGAAAAACAAACAGTACCATGTGAAAATCAATATGAAAGAGGAATGCAGGTGGTTGTGTCAAAGCTATTTTCAAGGTTTGAGAAGTCATGCAATTCCAAACAGATGCACACATCTCAGTAGATAACCAGTTATTTAACAATGAAATAAAAATATTTTTTCTTTTTTCCCTCTCCCCCCATATAGCTACTAGGTTGTTAGGCCATAAATACTTATTAAGCAGTTAGAGCATAACTGCTTAAGACAAAACTGTTTCCTTTTGACCAAGGGGCATTGTGAAAAAATTAAGATGCCAAGGGCAGTGTTAACAGAATTTTGGAACATCTGCCATAGTGACAAGAACATTAAAAGAAACCTTGAGGGCTAGTCTTTGATTCTACTAATTTCCCAACTTATAAGCCTATAGCAGGTCATTCACTTTGCCTTAATTTTCCTCAATGGCAAAATAAGGACAATATGCTATGAATAGCTGGCAGAATTGTTGTGAGGACTATTGGAGGCTAAAAATGAAATTCCTGTAGTCTGTAATGCATGATTGACATTCAGCCTAAAGGAAAAAAAATTCTTATAAATGTTCACAAAGAGAAAAATCAAATGGTTAGGGTTTATAAATTATTTGAAAAGCAGGATCTCACCTTTCTGAAATCTCCTCTAATAATTCCATAAGCTTAGCAGCCAAACCAAGGCGTCGAAATTCTGGGGCAACAGACAGAGCTGTGACATGACCATGCCATTCTTCCCTAGCGACTGAGCCTTCTGCTTTACCCATAACTGCCACCAAAATAAACATTGCATTCATTAATAAACATATGGGTTTTCACATAAATATAGAATTACTGTTTGGTACATTTTTATTATAAAGGAAACTAATGACAAAGTTTTAGTTTTTAAATCCTACTTAAAGTCATCTATCTAATGGTTATTATTGCGTTTATTTGAATTTTACTTGTAAATGTCATGCTAAATCTAGTTGTAGGAGAATTAGAAAGTTTATTTTTTTAAAAAGGAATGACATACTAAAACAACCGATTTTACACAAAGAACCAGAATATGTATTTTTGAAGAGATCTGTATCTCACATGGGCATGTACGTATGTGGGTATGTATGTACACACAACTGAGACAATCCACAGCTAAGTTTTTGTTAGTAATGCTAGTCAATGAAGATGCTACAATCCCTGAATTGTGTACCAAGTAAACCATGTAAAAATTTAACATATATATAGACTGAAAGATCCAAGACTGAGATTGTGTATGTTTGGTTCACTGCTGTTATCATCTGAGCCTAGCGCAATGCCTAAAACAGAGTGAGCTGTCTAGCGGTTGAAAAGGAAGTAAAATTATAGGCATTGTGATTATACTTTCAATTCTATATCAATCTAAATCAGTTGAAACCTATATTAAAATCTTAACTACCTGTCCAAAAAATTACTAGTGGTATTATACTTACTATAACCCATTAACTCTCCACCAGGTGCCTCTGCAACAATGAAATACTCTGGCCAGTGGGCGAGGTACTGTAAGTAAAAAGGAATCCCATACTAGAGTCTTGTTAAGGAGTGTGAAAAGTGATGGACAGTAACAAGTTCTTCATAAAAGGGATACATTACATTAAAGAAAGTTTCCTTTAAAAATTATATTGTTACTTCATCCCCTGCTCTATACACGTATATGTATGATTTCTATAATCATACATCATTGTGTGAAATATTTAGGTTAGCATTAATTTTTAACAAAATTGCCTGAACATATACCCTCAAATGTGAATAGAGACTGCACCATCTAATAGAAAGCAGAGAACCAGGACTCCAAAGCTGTAATCTGTCTCCCTACTGATCACACTGTATCTAAATCTCTGCATAACTCATCATTACCTGATATTCTTGTTTACTATCTGTCTCCCCTTAGACTATGAGTAATGTTTGCTCCATCCCTGGAACCTGGCTTATAGTACGTGCTCAATATGTTTTCCATAATTCACTGGAAAATTAATGACTAGTTCCTACTTTAGCTTCAGCTCTGAAACAGAAAACAACTTTAAAACTAAATACTTTCAGAGGTAACTTAACAATTACCCAGTTTTCCATTGATTCAGATTCTCAATTTCCAGTAATGCAAATAAAAGCTGACTTAAGCGCGGTTGTCTAAATAATTTGCTCATTACTTAACTTTTCAACCATGGTGTCCTTACTGATATGTACTCATTCCTGTATTTCTTCTTAGTGTAAGCTTGCTGATGCAATTCTATGAAGGGATATCATCAATCATACATTTTTTTTAAAAGTTCCTGGAAAACCTATTCAGTAAAATCTTTAAACTCTCCTCTGAAGGACAAGCTTTATTTTCAATATTCTTCAAACATAACCCTTAATATGACAGCCAGCCAGTCTTCCTGCCATCCAGCCACTAATACACACCATAACCATCTCTCCTCTGGCTAATGGAGGAGCCCCAGATGCCCACTATCAACCCCTAGGATCTGACAGTTTACTTTAAAAAATGGCTTCACCTTGATTGTGAGACTTTTACAGTAAATTTTAAGGGTAACTGAAAGCACACCCTATAAGTTGATTAACATTCTAATGACAGAAAATTTTTGTCATTCAACATTCTTCAAAATCCTTTTACTTTTTTTTTAAACATGGAAGGGTCTTTAACAGGTCATAATTTTAAAAATACAAATGAAAACTGGAGATTTTTTGCTTTTTCCACTCAACTTTGCTTCTGATATGTAGCCCTGTTGTTGCCTGTACCTACAGTTAACTTTTACTGCTATATAGTATTCCATTGTGTGAAAAGACAATTTAAATATATTATTTCCTGACAATGGACATCTGGGTTATTTCCAGTTTCTCAAAAATTTCCTCCATAAATACAGAATAATTGAGCCATTTCCTTATTGTGTGAATGTTATTACAAATTTTTAATATAATTTTGTAATAAATATTTTTGTAGTGATATTTAACTCAGGGATTAACAAACATTTTCTGTAAAAGTCCAGATAGCAAATATTCTAGGTTGTGTGGTCCATATGGTTGGTCTCTGTTGCAACTACTCAAACTGTGAAAGGCATGGACAAAAGCCACAGACAGTAGTAAATCTACTCAGCATGGCCGTGTCCCAATAAAACTTTATTTACAAAAACAGGCAGTGGGCCAACTTGGCTCACACACTTTAGTTTGCCAAGTCCTGACATAATTGCCTCTATTGCTTATTAGTTTCCACTTCTAGGAAATGGAAATACTAAGTATTACATCCAAGAAAGACTGTGGCAGTTTATACTGTCACTAGCGATTTATGAGAATGTTCCTGTCACTTCATCAGCACTGAGTTTTATCACTTTTTAAAATTCTTGATGATTTGATAGGTAAAACATCTCATTTTGGTTTTAATTCGTATGTCTTTTGACTGGTAAGATTGAACTCCTAATATGTTCATTAGCCTCCTATATGACTCTTTTATTAAATCATCAATTAATATTACCCTTCTACCCTGCAATGCACATGGATAATAACCCAGAAATCCAACTTTGTGTTTTAAGCCACTGAGAATGTGGGGGTTGTCTGTTGCAACATAACCAGTACCCTAACTTCACACATCTTTGCCCATTTTTCTATTGGGGAGTATAATAGATTCTGCTAATTGTTACCCCAAATCCTCTCTTCCCTTTAGTAGCATGCCCCAATTTAAAGCTAGGCATATTCCTGGACTCTGTTATAACTAGATAAGTGTAGTATGAGGCAGCTGCTGGGCAATGAGATGCAGATGTGGTACTTCCCGAAAGGTACCCTTGAAACGGAAGTACACGCTCACCTTCCCCTCTGTTGGTCATCCTGCCAGGAACATGGATGTGATTCCTTTTGCTCTGGCAGCCATCTGGGACAGGAAGGCCAAGGCCACCCTGAGAATATCAGAGTGGTTCCAGTGCAGAACCTACTCACTGGTGCCTTCATGGAACCACCACCTGCCTTGGACTGCTCATCATCTCCAGACTTTGTTCACATCAGACAGAAATAACCTATCTTGCTGCAGCCACGCCTTTCTGTTGTGTGAGGGGCAAGCTGGACAGGGGACCTGTACTATTATAGATTTATGAGGTCCATATTAGCAGCTTGTCAGGCAGGTTTAACACAACTCTTGTCCGCAGCTGTTTTTTTTAAATTGCTTTTAATGTTGCTTATGATGTTTCCTGACCTACAAGTTTTCAAGTTTTTCAGTACCTATTTTTTTCCTTTTGTTTCTCCATTTTGCTTACTCTTAGTAAGCCTTCATTTAACGTCTTTAAAAAAGGATACAGTTTCTGTAAGTGGATCCAAGTTACTGAAAGAAATAAGAAATATCAATAATAAGCAGTGTTTACAAAACTGGTTTAAATAAGCACACTAAAACTAAAAGTAACATGCACAAGGAAATCAAAACATGCTAATATCTATGACTTTAAAACCAACTTTATGGCTAAGGAAGATGGTTCAAACTATCTGGTGGCCATAATAGGCTGTCATAGCAACTATAAAGATAATCTATACTTTTTCGTTTGACTGCTTTTTTACAAATTACTTTAGAGTTCATAAAATATACATTAAAATCTTCATTTCCTAAATGGCAATAAATTAATGGAAGTGTGGACCGACTAGGCATGTAAATCACACACAGACAGAAGGTACAACTAACTCGCTGCAGCATCTGACTGGTCCTCGCCTGTCTCTGGGCCTTCCTCCCCTGACAATTCCTCCTTCCTCCTTATCCCACCCTCTAGATGTGTGCTCTTTCCCCACTCTTCTACATGCCCACCTCCCTTCCCTACAGCCCCCAGTCCTACACATTCAATTTTGTATTCTCAGAGGAAGCTGGATGTGACTTATGTGGCTGCCTCACTAGCATATCCAATCACAACACTCCCAAATCAGCATTTAACTCTTTAACTGCGTTAACTGATTTCAAGTTTTTTTCAAAATGTGTCAGAAAGCCACAAAAAACAAAATGTTGATATTTTGACTATATTATGTATTTAATAACAATTTGAGCTGCTTTGTATATAAGTGACATTTTTGTGTATAAAATTTTCCTCTTGTTATTCATTCTTGAAAAACACAAAAATAGAGAAAAATGTACATCTGCTTTCCTAAACTTCTTTTCTGGAAGTTTCCATCCACAGTCAGCAGATGGAAATATTCATTCGGCCAACCATCGCGACAGAAGGGTTAAAAATGCATCTCCGCTTCCATCTACAAAGACCTCTGCCCCCTCACTTTCCTATCCAATTAATAGAACCACTGTTTTGCCAGACTCAAAACCAGTGGCCTTCAACTCTCTTCCTCTTGCATATCCAGTCAAATTCTTCTTTGGTACCCTTACCAATGCCTGACAGTCATACTGCATTATTTACCTAACTCAGCAGTTCTCAACCTTTTTGGTTTCAGAACTTTTTTAAACTGAAAAATTATTGAGGACCTCAAAACACTTCTATTTATGTGGGTTATGTCTATTGATATTTAAAATTTTTAAACATTTATTCACATAAAAGTAACTATAAGTTAAAATGAATAACTTTAAAATTGAGATATAATTGACATTAGTTTCAGGTGTACAACAATGATTCGTTATTTGTATATATTGTGAAATAATAATTGCAAAATTTTTTATTATGGTGAGAACTTTTAAGATCTTTCCTGGCAACTTTTAAGTAACTGTACTCACTCTGCTATTCATTACTTGCCCATAACTTATTTATTTTATAAATGGAAATTCTGTACCTTTTAAACCCCTTATTTCACATGAATAACTTAAAAAAAAAAAGATTTTACTGGGAAATTGGGGAAGGGGAACAGCCAAGTTATTGTCCTTCAGTCTTAGTTGTGAAGGGCACAGCTAGCTCAGCTCCAAGTCCAGTCACCATCCGGCTACCTGTCAGTAGCTCGCAGCCTCTCAGCTCTTAACCAACTGAGCCACTCGGCCGGCTCTCACATGAATAACTTTAAAAAAAATTTGTATGCAACCACAAAAGACCCCAAATAGCCAAAGCCATCCTGAAAAAAAATAACAAAACTAGAGGTATCACACTCCCTGACTTTAAGCTGTATTATAAAACTACAGTAATCAAAACAGTATGTATTGGCAGAAAAACAGACACACAGACCAATGAAACACGTGAGAGTCCAGAAATAAACCCACACATATATGGGCAACTAATTTTTGACAAAGGAGCCAAGCACGTACAATGCAAAAAGGAAAGTCTTTTCAATAAATGGTGTTGGGAAAACTGGACAGCCACAAAAGAATGAAACTAGACTGTCTTACACCATACACAAAAATTAACTCAAAATGGATTAAAGACTCCAATGTAAAACCTGAAATAATAAAATACATAGAAGAAAACATATGGATCTTGGTCTCAGGTGGTATTTTTGTGAACTTGACCCCAAAGGCAAGAGAAAAAATTGCAAAAATAAATGAATAGGACTATATCAAACTTAAAAGCTTCTGCAAAACAAAAGAAACCGTTAACAAAACAAAAAGGCAACCAACCTCATGGGAGAAGATACTTGCAAACTATACTGTCAATAAGGAGATAATATCAAAAATATGTAAAGAATTCATACAACTTAGCAACAAAAAAATCCCCAAACAATCCAATTAAAAAATGCTCAAGAGACCTGAATAGGCACTTTTCCAAGGAAGACATACAAATGTCCAAGAGACATATGAAAAGATGTTCAACATCACTAGTTACTAGGGAAATGCAAATCAAAACCACACTGAGCTCTCACCTCACACCTGTCAGAGTGGCTACCATCAAAAAGACAAGAAATAAGCGTTGGAGAGGATGTGGGAAAAAAGGAAACCCTTGTACACTGTTGGTAGAATGTAAATTAACGCAGCCACTATAGAAAACAAAAAATTCCTTAAAAAATTAAGAATAGAACTACCATATGATCCAGCAATTCATCTTCTGGGTATTTACCCGAAAAATATAAAAATACTTATTTGTAAAGATGTATGTCCCCCTATTTTCATTGCATTATTTACAATAACCAAGACATGGAAACAACCTGTGTCCATTGATGGATGATTAAAGATGATAGGGTTTACAATGGAATACTATTCAGTCAAAAAAAAGATGAAATATGGCCACTTGCAACAACATGGATGGATATTGCGAATATTACGCGAAGTGAAAGAAGTCAGATGGTCATAGATACAGACAACAGAATTGTTACCAGAAAGGAGATGGGGAGGGGGGAGGGCAAAGGGGGTCAAATATATGGTAACAGAAGGAACCCAGACTTTGAGCAGGGAACATGCAAGAGTACACAGATGTCAAATGCTGTACACCTGAAAGTTATATAATGCTATTAACCAATGTTGCCCCAATAAGTTTAATTTTTTTCTTAAATAAAAGGCAAAATCAACTTAAAATTAACATCAAAGCCTAAAAGTAGAAAAGAGGTCTTTCAGGTTGTAGAAATAAGGCATGACCAGTCCCTCTCTTGGTGGGAGGGTGAATAAAAAAAACACTGACCACTTTGATTTCGCTGCTGTGTAGAAAGACCCTTGTTGTAAATATGAATATTGCTTAAGGGAAAAGGAGAATTAATACTAAGTGCCTGTTATGGGTCAACACTGCTCAGCATTTTCTCTGAAAGGTAACAATTAGCTTATTCATTAAAAACTAGCAAGCGGACTGAGACATTATCAATGCTTAGGGTCATCTGACTTTTGCTAGCCAATAAACTTAATGATGAACTTAATTTACTAGAGCAATAATTTTTCAAAAGTCATTTTTTTCGTGTATTTTTCTGTATGAAATTGCCAATATCATTAACAGGAAGAGAGAATAGTAAAGTAGAAACGGATGTTCAGCTGTGGTTGCTTTACCTAAAGGAGCAGTGTGAAGGCCAGTACCATCACATCAGCCAAATTTTAGGGACTGAGATGGTGTTGTTTTGGGGCAGCCACACCTCCATTCTTCGTATGAAATTATATTGCCAAAGACAAACTATTTCATCATGTATTATTAAACAACACTTAACCCCATATCTACCATAAAGTTGTGTGATGTATTGTTTAAGAAAAAAATCAGGGCCGGCCGAGTGGCGCGATGGTTAAGAACTGGCTTGGGACGCCAGAGGGCCCTGGTTCAGATCCCACATATGAGGGCCAGTGACACTGCCCTCCACAGCTAAGATGCTGAACAGCAGCTTGACCTGGAGCTGAGCTGCCGTGAGTTGTCGGCGACAGCGTAGGCTGCAGCCCCTGTGGCAGTGGGTTGCCATGGGCTGCTGTGTGTGGCCGGCAGCCGGCGTGAGCTGCCGTCCAGAATCCGGCGACTGATCTGCCTCACCCAGGAAGAGTGCAGTGATGGTGCCGACTTGGGCCGGTGAGGCGGCGTCCTCCACAACTAGACTGAAGAACAAAAAAAGGACAGCAACTTGTCTGTTCCCCTTCCCCCAATTCCCCAGCGCTGTTCCCATCCCCCAATTCCCCAATAAAACGTAAAAAAAAAAATCACTTTATTAAAAAAAATTAATTACATGAATGGCATTGTTTTAACAATTTTACAGATCGTCTTAATGTCTAGCCTAATAGAAGACTGGTAGATTCTCATAATGCCTGTTATACTTGCTGTTGCATGATCACATATCTGGAAAACTCCACTATGCACTTGTGAAAGAATGAGAGTGGAAAAGGCAACAACAACAACAAAAACTTCGTATTATCACAAAAATAGCTCTGACATCGCAGAACCCCAAAAACAATCTTGAGGCACCCCAGCCCACACCCAGAGAATCACTTGCTCTAACAGTGTGGGAATTCACTCTCCCACACTTTCAATGACTAATTTATATGCTCTCCTCTTGCCTCAGCTCTCCAACAGGCCACCCGCCTTTTCTCGATCTTAGCTGCTTCCTACTTCACAAAGAAAATACAACAGTAAGAAGAAAGCTTCACCAAGGTCCCACCACTGAACCCACCACCCACAAGCTCTGCACCCTTACTCTACTTGTTCTACTGTAACCACGCTTGGAGTTCTGGTGAACAGATCCCACCACCTCTCACTACCCGGGTCCCTGCTCCTGCAATTCTCCTCTCCCTTCTGGAAGAAACACACAAATATGCTTTACAATTAGCCATCAGCAGCTTTTGACATAGTTCCCCATTTCCTTTACCTGCATTACTCTCCTTTGCTCGTTCTCCAAGACCCCACCATCAGGTTTTCCTCCCACCTCAATGGGCCAATAGGTCTTCACTCTAACACTTGATGCCCTAGGGCACCCCCCCAAATTTGTATCTTTAGCCCAAACCTAAATTTCAGATTCCCATGTCCAGATGCCCACCTGACTTCTCCACCTGGGTATCTCAGTGCACTTGTCAGAGAATCCCAAGTCCTGTAATGGCCACTTCAAGATCTAGCCCTTTGACTATGACCTTGTCCCTCACACTCCCACATTCTGCTCAAGCCTCACTGGCATACTGCTGTCCGAAACGTACCTGTGCACTTAGTATTCCCTCTGCCTGGAAGTTCCCGACCCCAGTATCCTCATGACTCACCCCTTTATCTCCCCTAGCTATTTCTTCAGTTACACCTGCCCTAAACAACCTACCTAAAGCTGATTCCTCACTTCCTAGTTCCCATTCCTGCTTTCATATTTCCTTTGGACTGAACACTAAGTCATTCACATATTTTCTTATTTTTTTTCCCCCTCTAAAATGTAAGTTCCATAAAGATAACTGTTTTTGTTTTGTTCACTACTATCTCCAACACTGGTACATAAAGAGGCACGCAAATAACTTTCCAAGAATAATAAAATATTTGTTAAATTAATTCTAATGTTTCTACATCGACTGCCTCTTTCAATTTCTGCTGCAACACCCTAATCTCATGATTCCCAGAGTTCTCTACCCAAGTGCCCTAATCAAAGTGAGAAATGGAGAAAATGTAGGGGGGTTGGGGAGAGGAGTTCCTCTACTGCATACTCTCAAGAGGCCTTATTAAGCTGAATGATTCTTTGGAATCTAATGTTTTATTGTAAACCTTCATGCTTATTTTCCTTCTACTCTTCATTTTCACGTAAAACAGTGTTGCCCCTTCCCAGAGCTTCAGTTAAAACTGACTCTCCAAGAGGCTTTGCCTTGTCTATTGTTGAAGCTTCAAAACAGGCTGTCACCTCCTAGGCTGTGTGCACCTCCCAAACCCAAGTCTTTGCCAAGTCATCTCTGGGCCATTGCCAAGGTCTCCTAAATGGCTTACCTGCCTGGTATACCTCCTGGTCACCGCCCATTCCTCATAGCTCTGTACTGACGAGCTCAGGCTCCAAAGCAGTGGTTTTCAAAGAGCTGAGAACTTGCACTTCCAAAATGTTCCCCCGTGGTCAGTGACCACTCTTTAAAAACCACTGCTCTAGTGTCAATCTCCATGGATTAGATTCCTTGTTTGACCCACTCCCACTGCAAGGCTCTAACAGCTGGGGCAGTTCACTTGAGCTCTCAGTACCTTAGATTACTCATACATCAAATGGCGATGACAGTATCTACCTCACAGAATGGTTATTACAGTGCCAGCACTGGGCACAGCGAGAGCTTAACACAAATCACCTTAGTTATGTTGCTTCAACTGGGAGAGGCCCAACAGAAAATGCTTCCCACAGGATCAAGTCTAAACCCCTCAACAATGGAGCAAAAAGTCATTTCACCATCTTCTCTCTGGCTACTCAGTTACAGAAAGCTATGACTACAGTCACACTCATCTCCCAGTTGTATGGCCACACCTCAAGATTTCTCACCTTAATTCCCCTTCCTTCTCTAGAATTTACTTCCTCATCACCATCTACATTTGACCATCCTTCCCTTCATGGGTCATCCGGTCTTCTGAAAAATTTCTAGCCACCTCATCTATGCATCTTCCTGACCCCTGGATCTGAACCACTTGGTCCTTAATAAGTATTCACATACTGTCCACTTGTCTTTAAGTCGATATGGGATTGGTGGGTAGATGTGGGATTGGTAGAAAGAGACGGATGGATGGATGGATATGTGATGAAGCCAATGTAGCAAAATGTTAACTGTAGAATCCAGCTGATGTGTCCATATAGGCGTTCATGATAAAATTCTGTCAAGTTTTTATTTTTTTTAAAGATTTTATTAGGGAATTGGGGGAGGGAACAGCGTTGGGAATTGGGGTAAGGGGCACAGACGAGTTGCTGTCCTTTTGTTCTTCAGTCTAGTTGTGGAGGAAGTCGCTTCACTGGCCCATGTTGTTATTATCATTGCCCTTTTCCTGGGTGAGGCAGTGGCTCACCTGCCATTGGACAGCCACTCACGGCAGCCCACTGAAGACCCACTGCAGCCTCTGCTGTCACCGGTGACTCACGGCAGCCCAGCTCCAGGTCGAGCTGTTGTTCACCATCTTAGCTGTAGAGGGCACAGCATTACTGGTCCATGTGGGATCTGAATCGGGGCCCTGCTGCTCAGAGCTCGCGCTCCCAAGCCAACTCTTAACTAACGAGCCACTTGGCCGGCACTCTGTCAACTTTTTAAATGATCATAATAAACATGTTTTTTGGGGGGCGGGGGGAAATGATACCTACAAGTCACAGGTCCTGACTTAACCGGGGCTGAAAGAAACCACAACCTCCACCAGCAATGTGGCCCCTCCCCTGACTCCGCACAGCAGAAAACAAGTTGTCCAGCCTGGGAGCTCCGCTCCAGTTAAGAGGTACAAAACCAAACCCCGACTGAGAAAGAAACTGCTACGGGGAGTGGGTGGGTGTCATAATCACAATGTTATTTTACTCAGATACAAGTTAACTGTCACCACCAGGTGGGCCGCACAATGTACCTATTCCCAACAACAGTTAGCTACTGACCTAGAAACGACCTCAGCGGCCAGTACTTTTGGGGTGTTCGTCGCACGGAAGGGCAGTCGAGTCACTGCTCCGTAGGCAGCAGAGCCGGGCGCCAGGCCGTGGGCTCCGGCCCGTCAGCCCACTTCCTATCACCCCGGCGCGTCCTGACAACCACTGGGAATGACGGCCCGCACTCTGTCCCCGCGCCGATGAGCACGCAGGGTTACGAGATGAAGATTGAGAACCTCGGCCAAGGTCAGAGCAGGGCAGCCTGCGTCCGCCCTGGCCCGGACTGAGACCCGCGGCCCCAGGGAGGCGCCAGTGGCGGCCGGGTGGGGGTGGCTCCCCAGACCCCCACCGGGGTGAGGGGCGCGGCCCGGGCGCTTGTCCAAGGCGCACCTCACTCACATGTTGTTGAAGCGGAACAAGTCGTCGCACGTGAAGGCCCGAAGCGTAGTCATTACGCCGCCGCCGCCGCTGCAGCCGGCTCGCCTCAACCGCGCGCCCGCCGCCCCGGAAGTCGCCCAGCGAGCGTCCGGGCGGTCACTGCTTCCGGGCCACCAGTTCTTTGGCAAACCATGGAGCGACGCAGCTCCCTCTGGCGGCCAGAGTCAGGAATTGCCAGGCCACTTCTGGAAGGTCACAGATGAGTGAGTCTTACAGACATCAGAACCTCTAAATCCCTCCGGAGTGACACCTAGAAAGGAGACACAAAGCTGTCGGGAGTAGGAAACCAAAGCAGACAAATGGGGTTCAGGACCACTTGGGCATCCATTGGTAAATGAGGAAGGAAGTAGAAAGGAATGGGAGGATTCATGCTCCAAATGCAGACCCAGTATGGGATCTCAAATTTTCTAATACCACATTTAAAAACAAAAAAATAAAGGTGAAATTAATTTTAATAATGTTTTATTTTACCCAGTAGATCTCAAATGTTATCATTTCACATGTTATCAATAGAAAAAAATATTAATGAAATGTTTTACTTTTTTGTGGGGTTTTTTTTTGCTATGTCTTAAATCATTTGTGAATTTTACATTTGCCACATATTTCAATCTGGGAGCTAAACTGTTATCAAAAATACTTCTTCTGTATTTAGATTTCATAAAATGTATACATAAAATATATGGTTAAAATAGTAGCTTCACATACCCAAACAGTTTCAATCATACTAAGCTTTCAAATAACTGAGTAGAACATCAGTTTTCAAATTTAAATGAAAGTTAAATAAAGTTAAAAATTTTCTTCGTTAGTGGCACTAGCCACATTTCCAGTAGTCAACAGCCCCACAGGTAGAGGCTATCACCATATTGCACTAGCCCAGGTCTAGTCTAAGAAACGAGCATGTCCTACCCACTCTTGGAGGTTCTTTCTCTTCACCTCCTTTCTAAGCAACTACTGAGGTGGTTTGGGGGGACAGTTTGCACAAGTCAAACCGACCCAAAGGACTTCTCAAGAAGTCTAAATTCCAAGACCCTCACATCTCTAATTGTCCTGGGGCCCAAGTTGGTCCATAGGGATCTCTTCAGCAGCCTCCTGCCCAGACATGTGACCCAGGTGTGGAAGGAGAAAAAAAAAACATGATTGAGGAAGTAGGTAGGCCCATAATAAGAATCTCCCAAGATCCAAAAACAGATCCAAACATTGTTTCCAAAACCTCAACAAGATAGGCATGTTAGTGTAAACACACATGTAAGAGTCCCTGGAACTTACAAACTTATGTCCATAGGTACTACTGAGACAGCATAGGTAGCCTAGGAAATTGACAACCCCCTCCAGGGTAAGAGGTGAGGTGCCTCGCTGGTTACACAAGTAACAAATGACTATCCAGTATCTGCAGGTGGAGAAAAACAAGAACCAGTTTAATCCAGCTAGGCTGATCCTTATGACCTCGACCTGACCTTTTAGCTAATTATGTCATTATAATCTCATTTACATTGCAGTTACTACTACTCCCATCATTCATCTGACCCCGTGACAGTTCCAGAGGAATCAAATAAGGAAGAAAAAAACAGGAAATGAAGGGTCCCGCTCAGGAAGAGGAGATGAATGAACCACATCAATAAGCCATCACCAATTCCCACCCCAGGAGAGATACCCCTGATTGTGAGCTTTGGAGAAGCTCCTTCTCTGAGTTTGCCTGCACTTTCCTCTCAAGTGTGTACTTTCATTTTCAATAAATCACTTTTGCTTTCTTGCATCTGTCTTGCTCTTGAATTATTTCTTTCATAGAGACAAGAACCCAGTCATTGCTGCTCTGGTTTGAGTCCTGTCTTGGACATCCTCATGAGCCTCTGGGAACACTACAGGTGCACCAGGAGGGCAGAATGATGTGACAACAAGCTCAGCTTCTGCCTGCCAGGTAGTTAAGCAGGGAAGTTTATTATAGAAATTTCCTATCAGCAAAGCCTAATGTACCACATTAAGTGAATGTCAAAAGAATTTTTAGAAAAGGTAAAATTTCTCTTATGCAAATATTAAATGAACATTTGTCAGAGATTTTAACTCTTTAATCTATGAAAGGACCAGTGAGATGTCACAGCCTGCTCAAAGGAGAATTTAAGATGCACAAGGCAATCAGAATTGCTGAAATTTATTTAGAAGTAGGTATAGAGCAGTAATCTACAAGGTGTGTTTAAAAAAAAAATACGGTGAATGCTGCTTCCAAGTGCCATCCAATGGAAAGTCAGGGATCTTCAATACAGGAAGCGGCACGGCAAACTTAGTAACATCGTGTGACAAGTTTCAACTTGTTTGGTACAGTTAGTCAGGTGTGAGCTACAGTTGAGAGCAGGTGTGTTTTAAAGTGTGCTATAAATCACCCTCCATCATGACCATGCTATGTGTCACACATCGCTTCTGGTATAGCAATTCCTGTCAAATAAAAACATTACTGTGTGTCCTCATCCACCTTAGTCACTGGATCTGGCACAGTGCAACTTCTGGCTCTTCCTCAAAGTAAAAATGACCATGAAAGGTAAACGTTTTGAATCGATTCAGGACATTGAGGCAGCCATGACAGCGCAAAGAAAGACACTCACAAAAGAGGACTTCCAGAACAGCTTCCGAAAGTGGCAAGAATGAAGGGATAAGTGTGTTTGAAGCAAGGGGGAGTATTTTGAGAGGGATTATTGGCAATGTATCTTTTACTATAATAAGTTTTTTTAAATTTAAACATTCACCATATTTTTTTATTGCACCTCGTATTGCATCTCCTGGATACACATGATACATTTAATTTCTATAGACAATAATAATTTTCATAACTATTAATTTCCACAGCTTACAGATTTGTAAAATAGGTCAAAAACAATAAAAGGCAGAGTTAACCTGGAACAGTGTACCTGACCAGACACCCAGTCAACTTTTCTTGGTCATTTCCAAATGTCTCACAATTGTTTTCTGAAATTAACTAATATTGGTTTGAATTTTGTTGGTTGTGAAGTTTTGATAGTTTTTATAATTTTTTATTTTGATTTATTAGCAATATAAACAGGAATTTATGACTACTTTATGTTTGTACTTATTTAAGTAACGGTAAAATAAAAGCAATTTTGATTTTTAAAAGCACTGTAGGTTTAACATGAAGGCAACACTCGACACCTGAAGGCACTGGATGCTATGGGCTACCAGTTTGCAACCAGTGATAGAAATTATGATTTAGAATCATCATTTTCAGTCACAGATCAAAACTCTACAGTAGCTACATCGCAATGGCAATGTGTACCAGGTCATGAAAAATGAAGAGGAAATTACAGAGAGCATCCTGGAAACACAAGCTGGATCTCTTTTCTCTCCCTATTTGTCTACTTATTTTTAAACCTTTATCAGTTTCCATTGCTGAGCACCTCCAGTGAATTAGCATCTAGAAGGGGTGCCTGCCAGGTGCCCAGTAAATATCAATTGAATGGTTGAATGAAAGGTGACGTACAGATTATCCAGAAAACATGTCATCCTTAGTAGTTTACAAACAGGTGTTCATGTTATCAACTAACTTATTTCACTGTGCCTTAGTTTCTGCAAAAGGTTCATAATAATAGTATTTGCCTCATTGAGTTGTTAGGATTAATGAGCTAATATTTGTAAAGCACTTGGAATAGTGTTTTCCATTTAAGTGTTTGTTAAAGAAAGTAAGTAAAATATTTTGCATTTTGAAGAATCGAAACTTTGAAATGTAGAGCATGGGAGAGGCAAATCCCTTGGCCGTGGAATCCTTAGCACAGTCAGTGCAGAAGTGGCAGCACATTGTTCACAACCCGATGAGCAGCTGGTTCTAGATGGACAGGTCCTTTGAAGCCAACTCCCTTTCTCTCATTGTCTTGCTCCACCCAGAAAAGCCTACATGTCAGCTCCCCTTGTTTTATTTCATTTTTTTATTAGGGCTCTTTACATTTTTTTAAAAAATCTGTGTTATGTGATAAAGTGATATATGCACATTATTTAGAAAATTGAAGACTTGTAGAAAGATACAAAGAAGAAAGCAACACATCATTCAAAATTCTACCATCCATGAATAAATCATGTTAACCCTTGAAGAAATTCAGATATCTGTTTTTATTTTTAGCTGAGTCATCCTGCCACCTGTTGGCAGCTCAGCAGCAGCTCAGCTCCAGCTCAGCTCCAGCTGAGAATCAAACCAGCGACCCTGTTGCTCAGAGCTCACACTCTTGAGCAAGCTCTTAACCAACTGAGCCACTCGGCAGGCACCAGATATCTTTTTATGTAGTTTAAGTGGAGTGAGAAAAAGATGTTTACTTAAAAGAGGCTCAGATTATATATGTTAATATTAAATTAAAAGTATTACTTTAATTTTTTTTTAATTTAGCAGAAGATATCTTGGTGTAGAATTAATCCCTGGTTGTTCACAGAATGTAAAAGGATTTATGAGACTACAAGAGTAAGAAAGATTTATTGAAAGTTAAAGAGAGAGAGAGAGAGTTCTGGCAAAAGGAATTTTGCCAGGGCAGAGCCTGATAGGGACAGCTGCGGAAGATCTTGAAAGTTGCTGGCAAAGGGATTTTTGCCAGGGTACAGCCCAACAGGGACAACTGTGCCAATGAGGAATGCTGAGGTTTTATATTTTTCCATGCAGGATGTAGGGTGCTTGTCAGCTTGCATGGGGGCTGCCATTACAATTGTCTTCTCCTGGGGACCGTCCTGTTCCCATCTATGATGTATGTCAGTCAGCTTGCAGGAGGTTGCTGTTGCGATTGGGAGCAGTTCTGTTCCTACCTATGATGATGTAAGATACTTGTCAGCCTGCAGGTGCAGTGCTAGCCAGGGGATTCAGAGCCAAGCAATTAATGTTTAGCTTGTTCCTGTTAGCCCACAAGCTCGCTCCTGTTAACTCTTTGCCTGTCCCATCCTGCCAGCTCACAAGCCCGCTCCTGATAACTCTTTACTTGTCTCATCAGAAGAGAACTGAATTAAAACTAAAGACAGTGTTGAACCTAAAGGTTTCCTTTAAAGCTTAAGGATGTATTTTATTACATCATATATATTAAATATGGTTTCAACATCTTAATGAAAATCATTAAGAGATTGA